ATAGACATAAATCATTTTTTTAAAGTAGGAAAAGTTTGATAGATACTTAAAGGTAGGCAGCCTGGAGTGAATGTAAGTGATGCACCCCATTCCTTCCATCCCTGACACCCTCCAGATGCCCAGCAATAAATAAAATGATGACAGCAAATGGGAGTCAACGTCATGGTAACTATAATTCATCAAGTTCCATTCATTTAGAGCAATACTCATCAAATAGAAAAGGAATAAATAAGTTGCTAGACACATTATCTTATTGTTAGTAACTCCAAAACAGTTAAAACTGAGGTTAAATAATAATTTAAGAAAGTTTAATGATAGCACAATAATTATTCAAAATACTCCAGCCAACTGGAAGGAGAAAAATAAAGGCCTCATATTTCATAATCATTGAGAACAATGTTATACTCACAGAAAACTGTTTTACATATAAAAGAAAGGAAGAAAGAAAGAAAGAAAGAAGGAAAGAAAGAAAGAAAGAAAGAAAGAAAGAAAGAAAGAAAGAAAGGAAGGAAGGAAGGAAGGAAGGAAGAAAGAGGGAGGCAGGGAGGGAGGAAGGAAGGAAGGAAGAAAGGATGGAAGGAAGGAAGGAAGGAAGGAAGGAAGGAAGGAGGGAGAGAGAAAGAAAGAAAGAAAGAAAGAGAGAGAGAGAGAGAGAGAGAGAGAGAGAGAGAAAGAAAGAAAGAAAGAAAGAAAGAAAGAAAGAAAGAAAGACAGGCAGAAAGAAAGAAAGACAGGCAGAAAGAAAGAAAGACAGGCAGAAAGAAAGAAAGACAGGCAGAAAGAAAGAAAGACAGAGAGAAAGAAAGAAAGATCTCTGAAGAGGGTCAGACATGATTTTCTATATTTTTACTTAAAACCTCAGGTATGTTTCATGAAACAGTTTTCTAACAAAAATGACAAGAAAATGCTAATCAGATATTTTGATACTGAATGAAATGAAACATCGTTCTGTTTATCCTTTGTCGATTTCTTAGGCTTTTAAATAATGGTGTTTATGCAACACTGCAGAATAGGCCATATATAACCTACTGCAAATTACTCCAACGTTAACAAGAACTTTTCTTTCTAAGAGATATGAGGTATGTTCTGGGCACTCACTGTGTGTGGCCTTAGAGGAAAACAAAGTCTCACTGTTTTCACTTTTCTTAAACAATCTCTCACTACGAATCTACCAGGGTATGTGTGCAAGCATTCTCCCCTTTGTTTTTCTATCCTCTCATCAAAAAGGAGAAAAGAATCAAAGATATTATTAACTTCTTGTGAACCATCATAAAACTTAATGTATCATTTATTAACAATTAATACAGATTTATCTTTCATTACTTGTCAATGAGGTGTAACAAGGGAATCATATTTTTGTGAATAATTATCTGGAATAGAATTAAAATGTTAAAATTTAAACATATGTAATAAATTTTGTAAGCTATAATTCATTATGATCACACATTAAAATCTCCTAGAGGTTGTTTTAAAACTAAGCGTAACTAGTGACACTGACTTAACATAGCAAAATGGCGAAACACGTTTAATTTGTCTTATTACAAGTTATTTGGGAACTTATAATTCATTCTCATGAGAAAATTTTCTGCTATGACATGGTAATGAGAAGTAAGAGAGTTTTATGGCAGACAAGAATTTGACATCCATTTTATCTCACAAATAAAACTACAGAGTGAGCTCTTTATAAAATATAACTCAGTTTACAGTACATATACATGTACTGTACATATACATATATATGATATATGGTTTTTAACTTGAGTTTTAAGAACAATTCCCTGACAGAAGCTTTTTGTGCTGGGTAGATGTATATCATTTACTACATCAGTTATCAAAAGCAGAAAGGGCTGATTATATGGATTACTTTTATAAATTTTTGATTTAAAATAGAAAGTATATACTAAGTTCACTGACTGTAGTGGATACTTCATTAACTTCCTCCACTCTATCTTCTCCTTACCAGAACAAGGGAACCTGGACAACCAACTGCATCACAGTCCAATTGTGCCCCTAGTGCCTCGGGCACACATGAACATCTGAAGAACACTTGAAAACATCCCTATTACTCTGGATCTCTAATGTATCTTCCATCTAGTTCAGCTGCAACAAAGGTAACACAGAGCAGCAGAGACATTAGAAAGGTCATCAGATCCTAGATGAGCCTGAGGGAAAATGGCTGAGTTTCTAAAAAATCTAAATGAGCAGCTACAGGGAATGGTGTTGAGCAAAGCCTATGCAGCATACCTTCATACAGGAAGCTAATAATCTACCAAGGCCTGCGGTCCATGCTTTGTGTATCATTACAAAAGTAGGAAGCCACTGTGGTCTGCATCACTACAGGTCTGGCTTCATAGCTGTGAGTTTGCTGTCAGTCCAATCATTGTGTGTAGAGAAGTGTGGATTCCAATAAGAGAGTTCATCCATGACACAAAGAAATAAATGTATGGGGGATGAGGGTTATGCAGGGGCAATTGCCCTGAGCAAATACCACAAGATCCTTTAAGTCCCCTCTCCAAAAAGCAGACTTTCTTCCTTTGGGCTTTCTTTTATCTGACCGACAACTAACATTGATGAATTGTTGTTTGGTCAGTGCTAATGGATCTGTGGGTGAGTGGAGAGAGGGTGACATTTAGCAACTTACAGTGATAATTCAAAACATTCTGCCAGGCTTAAAAGCATCATCATCGTTCAGATTTTCACTCATCAAATCCCATTGTCCTGCAGACTTAGTGAGAGTGGAATAGATATATTTATAGTAAGGCGTGAGGGCTACAAGGGAACAAAATGATAGGGCAAGAAGTTCCAGGTCTTCCACCAAAGTAAATGCAAACACAAACAAGCTGAAGTTTGTGAAATTGGAACAAAAGCAATTGTCTAACATCAAGTTGCACTTCTTAGGATATGTAGGATCCTACATTTCTACATTCACATACCTTTATTTCTTTCATTCCACAGCCTGCCTTTTCCCTCCAGATGATTGGAATAATTATAACTACATTATGACTTCTCAATACATACTTAAATCCTTAGTTGATCATATACTCTAGTTGCCAGATCTTATTCACCAGGACCCACTGACATTTGGGTTGTGTGTCTGGAAATATGAATAAGTGTCATCCACCAGTGTTGTAGTACAGGACCATACCAGCTTGCTGAGTGTTGTACCACTCTTGAGATTATAAGGGACCAGAGATCTAACATTTACTCATTACTTGGAATTCACAAGTGACTTGCCCACATTGCAACATAGGGATTAGGTTAAGTTTGTGTCACCATTTCATGGTGACACATGGAAATTATATTTGATGTAAAAACATACATAAATGACATTGAGTCTGATGAACTATGCATACAGCCCTTGAATTCAGTCTCCATTTCCTGAAGCATTTCTCAACCAGGATGCCTTACTGTGGCCACTAAAACTGACCTGAACTGGGCAGTACGAGGTATAAGTATGTGAGCAGATGAAGATGTTACAAAGACTCTGATCCTGAGTTGTGTCAAACTGTTAAATTGTCACAAATTTAACATTTAAAAAATATTATTAATTAGGAAACTTTTGGGAATGTAGCAAGGAAAATACTATGAAATCTAAGATGGGACCAACTTTAAGAATGGAATAGCATGTGAATATCTTTGATAATCTGTAAAGAAGGTTAATAAAGATTCACAGTACAAATCTGTAACATCTCAGGATGTCTGTTTTAGCATCAGTCACATGCTATAAAGGGTGCTATCAAGTGAACAAGCAGCCTGTCTTAAAATCAGCTTGTATACTACTGTCATCATTTAGCTGTCTTATCAAATACCTAAAATTTCTCTATCTAATCAATGATGTAAATTGTACATAATGGACAGTCAAGGCTTTAAATTCTTTTGTATAACTATGCAATATAAATGTAGTATGCAAAGTTAGATATTGCTAGGCTTATACAAATAACAGGTATAAAAATTTTGGAGGATAAAGAAATGATGCTTTGCTATATTAAGTGTAAAATGTTAAAACAGCACATAAAACATTGGTTTTAAAAGTAATATAAACAGGATTTAGGTAAAATATTTTGATTGCAAATAGTGCTGGCTTTACAGTTCTTCACTATATCCATCCCTAAATCTACATATAGAATTGACACTAAATAACACAGCATTAAATAACTTTCAAAAATTACATCTTTAAACTGAAAATATTACTAGCAAAATACATAAATATATTATATGCCCAAACGTCATAGATAATACTAGGAAGCTACAATTGTATTTCATTATTTAGTTTGACTCTCAATAGAATAAGTTTAAAAGAATTACAGTATTAAGTTTCTACAGTGATCCTTAAATCATAAAAGAGTGAGAAATGACACATATCTTTTCTATTTTTCTCATGACAAAAATACCCCATATGTCATTTCCCATTAATGCTGAGTTGTTGGTCAACAAGGCAGACCTGAGGAGCACACTGTCTCCCTTGTATGTGTGTGTATATGAGAATATGAGAAGCTGCAGAGCAGACATATACTTTTTGTATCCCTCAGGACTTGTCCACTTGAGCTTTTGAGTCAGGAGCTCTCCACCTAGGCTACACTGGCTGGTCAGAAATCTCCAAGCATATATGCCTTTCTCTGCTTTCCCAGAGCTGAAATATAAGTCCTCATACTTGGCTTTTTCAATTGTGTTCTGGGGACCAAAACCAGATGCTTGTTTGTTCAAGGTAAGTACTTTATCCTGATCCATCTCCCAGTCTTCATAGTCTTAAAATGACTAAAAAGTTACATATTTCATTTTACTACAATGATAAGGCACTTGGTATTTCTAATAATCTATAGAGAATGCTTAAACTGGCTATGAAAGATATAATACAACTTTTGTGGTAAAAAAATAATTCAAACTAGAGACTAGGATCTGATGTTTAGTGTTTTGATTCTCATCTTTAAAAGTGGAAATCAAATTAAAAAGAAAAAATAGCTGACTAAGTGAAGTAAGGAGAATCTCAAAGTTGTACTTACTGGCATGAGAATACTGTAGTGGATGCAGAATCCGGGTTCAGATGGAAAATACTCATCAGATACAAATCTTATCCTGATATGATTTCCTTTTGAAGTCTGCTTTCCTGGCACAGTCCCAGAACCACACCAGCGTCCTAAAACACTTCCATCACTGGGCTCCTCAACTTCCACAAAATCATACCTGTGAGGAGGCAAAGGGGGCAGAGACTGACGTCATTGCTTATCTAGGCAACGGAAACTTTATGTGTGCAATGCATCTATGGAGCACACCGCGAGTTGTCCCCAATTATGCTTAAAAGGAGAAGCCTTGAGATGCAAAAGTTAATGAGAGTTAGAAATGAAGAAATATTTGGAAAAATATGAGACTTTTTTTTCAAAGCCTTCAGATTTGCTAGTAACAAATTGAGATTGATCTGATATTTGCAACAAATATTTTCACATACAGCAAAATTATATGATTCATATTTATATTATTTTAATCCACAAATTACTCATGTTTATATCTTAGTTCCTGTCATCATTGTCCAAATCTCCTACTTAAGAAAAGATGTATTTGGCAGGCTTTACCAACAATTACTAATTTAGGAAAGCCTAGTAACAAAAGAATATTGAGAAAACTTCTAATACTTATCAAGTAGAAGCACTCTACCAACTATCTATTTTGATGTTGGGGATAGTTGATAACATGGGGTATTAGCATACATTATTTCCTCATAAATCATTTTGTTATTATTCCAGTTCTCTTTTCCTTCCCAGGGTGGAGATTGTGTCTAACACATGCTGGGTAACTGCTCTACTACTGGGGAATACATCCCCAGCTTTACCTAACACACAGATAATTTTTTCAAAATTTTCTTTAACAATTGCACTTTTAAATAAATGATAGTTTCCTGGAACGAATGTCAAAATAATAAAAAGAAAATACAAAATTTTTAATAAGAGAGAAGTCTGACATGCTTGAAAGCTAAAAATTATTGATAGATTTTAAAATAAAATGGAATATAAATACACTAGACAAAAATCAAAACCAACATTTTATATAGAATTAGATGTAAAGACAAAATTGTTAATAAAAAGATAAGATATAGACCAAGTATAGTTATTAATCTTCTAAGGAATGTAACAACATTCTTCAGCTTCATTTTTCTCACAAAAACTAAGAAACTAAGATCCTTTAAAATGACAATATACACTCAGTGTTGAAGAATTCCTGGCCCAGAGTTGCCACTTAAGGAAGCTTGCTCCAGATCTATGCAGCATCATGCCCACCTCCATAAACCTATATTTTAAGATAGTCTGGAGAATTTAAAAGCATTAAAAAGAAAACAGTCGATAACAAAAGAAGACAATTGTTATGCCAATACCCAATGACAATCCAGACCTTTAAGCCACATAGGATCAAGGCAGTCCTTACTTATTACAGGAGTTTAGAAGGATGGAAGTTGGGGTCCATATTGAGGTGACAAGCATAGACACAGTTAAGTAGAGTAGACCTAAGTAAAATTTTATATATCACCATTTAAAGAGGTTTTTTTTTCCATTTTCATAACAAAACTGCACAGAAAACCAAGTTCCTACTTGGGGAACTCTGTTCTGTTTGTGGAAGTAAACCTGTCCAACTGGTTTTCTACCACTCCTTACAGAGATGTATAAATGTGTCAGGATACAAGGAGGAACAATCATTTCCTTGGGCTCAGTATTGATAAATCAGATGGTAAAATCTCTAATGAAAGTGCACCACGGAATGCCGGAAGAGCAAGGGCAATTTTACAAGACTGGATTAGGATCCCTTTACAAAGGACTTAATATTTGGGTTGTGAATGTGTGCTGATTGCCTGACCTGGACTAAAAAGGGAGGGAAACTGAGATGCATTCTAGCAAGAAGCATAATAGATAGGTAACACAAGAAGGAAGGGGCCAGGTATGGTCAACTGTGAACATAGGATGGCAAACAAAGAAAATGACACAGACCAACCTGGGAAAAATTGGTGTAGGCACTTAGAGTTTGGTGCCTCAGAGTTGACTGTCAACATTTTACTTGTCATACAAGATGGTATAAACAGAGGTGGGCATAGCTTTAATAAGCCATGTTCTTCCTTAAAATATTTAATTCAATATATTAAGAGGCTGATCCTTTTATACATATGAGTTCCTAGTCTTTCCCCTGACACCTGTAGGCCAGGCACACAGTAAAGGCTTGATAGACACACATGGAGCGAACAGGCGAATGCGCACTTGAACCTCACAGTGACCGACATTGGAGTTGGATGGCAATAGCTGTAGATGAGACGTGCTGTTTTAAGAGACTTACAACTATGGATCTGTTGCTCTCCGTGTATTTTACATATGCAGATCTCATTTATTTGTACTAATTGACTTAGTTTTGCACCTGGGTTTGCCATCCCTGTAGTATATTCAGCCCAGTCAATGAACGAGTACCAGAAACACTGTCATCACCTATCTGAGAAATTCGAAGAACCATTTCAGGTGGGAGGATAAAGAAAGAGTTCCTAAAAGAGCAACCTGCAAGGAAACAGAATATCTGGGCATAATCTTGAGCACAAAAGCTGAGGAGAGTGGGAAAAAGAATCCTCACCAGAAGCAGACAGAAGCAGAAGCAGACAACAGCACAAAACCTCAAAGGGGTTCAAAATTAGTCAAGTCACTTATTGGATTTGACAATCACAAAGCCATTTTAAACAAGTAAACTGGAAAGCATGATTTGTGTTCAATAGTTTCTTGTGGCCACTTTCAAAATGACTATTAAACTGTTAGATTGAATACATTATAAGGAAAAATATAAGAATTATTGTAGCTACTTTCATTATAGCTAATTTTCATTTAAGTTCAAAAATAAACACCATATAGGCTTGCTTGTTTGCCAATTTCCTTTAAAACACTTTAAAAAGGGTTTCCCAAAGCACAAGAAAACACTGGGGCTATAAATGTTAAGACCTTATAATCAACCAACTATGTCTTGGGTTGAGTACTTACGTAGCATGGATACAGTAAGTGTGAGACTGATGCCCATCACAGTAAAATCAAGCAGCAAAAAGTCTTATTTTGGACCTTGTCTAATTTACATATTGATGTAGAACTCACCACTATGCAAATTAGAGAAGGATGCCTAGTTCATTATGATTTCATGAAGGTTTTTCTAATGAATTTGGCGTCAGATTTAAAACAAGTTCTAGACTTACGGCCAGATTCTGGCAGTTTACAGTGCCCTGTTTAGACACATCTGATACTCTCTTCACCAGTTTTTTTTTTTTTCGAAGGAACTATGGAATTTTCCTCTTTGTGGGAAAGAAAGAAAATATCTAAAATGTATACTTTGTCTATGAAACAGAAAATTTGATATAAACTACTAGTTGTTTTGTAGTAAATTAGGCACTTCAAGTTTTTTATACCCACAGCTATTATTATACACTAACATAGCTAGGAAATTTATCCAATTATTCCAACTTCCACAGTCCTATCTAATAATCAGTGAGGCATCTAGGACACTTAGGACTATCAATAGAACAATTATTTATTAAGGCTTACATTTTCCTCTTAAGGAAAAAGACACTATCAAAATACTTCTGTCTAAAATCTTGCACTGAAGGTCAAGGTAAACATGGATGAAGATGTTGCCCAGCTGCAAAGCACTTGACTACCATGCACTAGGTCCTGGCTTCAATCTCCCAGCACCACAAAAAAAAAATTAAAAAAAATAGAGAACAAAGTAGAATAAAATAAAACAGGCTGTGTGTGTGTGTGTGTGTGTGTGTGTGTGTGTGTGTGTCTGTATTGCGGGGGAGGGTTGTACCTGAAATATATATGTCTATCTCATTGTCCAAATCTTATTATATTGCAAAGGACAAAAATCAAATAAACAAAAATACCAAATCACATGTGGTTCAATATTTGCTCTTAAACTATAAAGTACATTCAGTGGGTTTTGGAAAAACATAATGCATTTTTGCCCAATTATTTTCTCTAATTATTTACATATTATGTTTCTCACTTTGTTTCCCTGATGCCTTCAACAGAAGAAGGGATTCATAGGAGAAGCCATTTGATTGATATTTACTAACATATTTCAAAATGTCATGATGGAAAGGAAGAGAGAAATTAATTAGAAAACCATAACTCCAGGTCGTAGTAAAAAGGAATGGGAACAGATTAAAAAGCATGCCATCCTTACATGCTCAGGTGACCATACTGGAGACACAGTAATCCTTACAATACACTCCCAGGTATTAATTTTCAAGGTGAACAATTGCCCATACCACTATTTAAAGGATTTACTAAGCATGAGCCAATCAAACATCACATTCTCAGAGCAACATGATGCAGCACACAGAGTGCAAAGTGGCTGGTAATGATCACTCCGCCTCTCTACCATACTCCTGGGACCTAGGGAGAATTTATGTTCTTTTATGTTTAATAAACAAGTCTAATGTTGTAGACAAAATTTTTGCTCTCTTGTGGGAATGTAAAAAGTGTGAGGATATGGGAGCTATTTTCTTACTCCTAAGAATGTAAGTAGTATACCAGAGAAATAAATTCACTGGTAAACACAATTGTCAGACACCCAGCTTTCTTTCAACAAAAATAAACCAACCCTGCAGAACAGGCCGTCTCTAGTTCATACTGAATAAAACTCTGTCAATTAAACCTGCCCCATGAATTATCAGCCTGACAGTGGTGAGAAAAGACGCCAAGTGCATGTGGATTATAGAAACCCTGGCTCTGCAAGTGTCAACTGAATCTAGAGCAGGTTGGGATAGGTAATAAAAATAATAAGATGACAATTACTGTACAGAGCTTATCGGCTTATGCCTTTGCTACCCACATTCAAACAGATTCTTCAGACCCCTATTCAAACACCAGATGTTCTTCTAGACACCAATTAATACTGAAAATACTTTGAAGTAATTATCATATTTATTAGGTGATTACAGTATGTTAGGCACGTTTTTAGGTGCTTCTGAATATTTTCTAAATAGATCCTCTTAGCAAACGAAAGTGTGCCCAGTAAGGGTTACTAAATATAGAGAAGGTAAGTCATTTGTCTAAGTTTACAAGGAAATTAATTGTAAAATTATAGCTTTAGTTTTGAAAGCCAAATCTCAGACTCCATGGTCTTAGAAGCTAAGACCTCTACTCACTATACTTAAAATACAGCTCTATAGT